TTTTGTGAATAGGTAACTTCCCCTGACTTAGACCTGCATGAGTTGCTTTAACTTTCGACCCTTCAAAGTATGTCCCTCCCACCCCATGTCATGAAGTTCAGCACCGCCTCCTACAAAGGAGAAGAAGAGAAGCACAGAGGCTTTGTGCCCGGCATGGGATGCCCTGCGGTCACCTGGGGATGTGGGTGACCAAGAACTAATGAGCACCCTAGACTAGCACCCTTAGCTGGTGCCCCCTCCTCTAAGACAACTGTAGATACCAACTAGTGAACAGTGATGCCTGGGTTGGAATCAATACCGAACAGCCTGACCATGACTCACTGTGTTTGGGGAATTTAAGCCACTGTGTCAAAAGGCAAAGAAACTCAGCATGAAGAGGCGAAAGCTGTCTCCCACAACTCTTTCTAGGACCAACACATTCTCTACTTTGAGGCTGTACAGTGATCATTCATTCTTTGCCCATTCTTGGGGTGGGGGTGATTCTTTGCCCATTTGTTGACTTTTTTTTTTTTTTAAGGGCAGCTCTTATTACCAGTGTGCTAGGGAGAGAGTCTGAGTTTAGTAATCAAAATGATGCTTTGGGCCATGCAGAGAATCCATCCCTTGGTTCTGGAATTTGGAAATTTCCACCAATAGGAGGCTTCCTTTAAGTCTAGATCAGCAGAATCTGGTACCAGGGAGTTTTACTCCTTGGTTTCAAAGCAAAGGATCCATTCTAGGGACAGGTCCATGAAAATGATGGATGCAGAGCCAAATGATAGTGAACCAAACAGGAGAGAGGATAATAATGGAGATGATTAATGGGATGAACTGTAGAGAGGAGGCCTAGGGTGGGTCTGGCCCAGGATAGCTGGAGTTGTGAGGGCTCTAGGACCCTTGTGCACTCAGGAAGACAAGCTTCAGCCATGAGAAACTGAAGCTGCAGCACATGGAGGGCAGAGAGACAATTCTAATGTCTAGGAATCTATGAACACTGGAGTGTGTCTGAGGCAATGACAGCAAACCCAGGTCCAGTGGGTTTTACCATACCCATTGGGCTTCTTATACAACCAACCCACCAAGCAATGGATTTGCTCCTGAATCTGAACTCCAGAGAATGAATATATATATGTGTGTGTGTGTATATAACATACATATACACACACTTGTGTTTGTATATATATATTCTAGTGCACATAGTCAAACACATGCATAAATTGCCCTGTGTCAAAATATTGCATAAGCTTATATAATGTTCAAATGCAATTTTTCTATAGCTTACTAGAGGAACACATGAGAGAGAAAGATAGATAACTAATATATATTTATATACATCGAACCCACAGATCTGCCTGTCCTCAGGATCAATGCCCTGGTAAGCTTTGTAGTCATGCCCATGACTAGATTAATTCCTAAGGTTCAGCCATGTGAGTTTTTAGACTCTGCTTTTTCTGTTCATTCTCCTGGTGTGGCAGGGTCTTTGCTCTCATTGAAAGAAGAGAGATGGGTGGGCTGGAGGGCCAGCCAGAAGTTTTGGTTCCCCATTCAAAATAGTCTATTTGCTTTTCCCTGATGGAGGGCTTTTGCCTTCTGATGGGGAAAAAACCCTAGTTCAATACCATCCCAAGGCTATTAATACTCTACGTATGAATACTGTATAGGCTACTAGGAAAATAGATTATCTTCTGTGTTTTAAATATTGAGATTCATGCAGTGAACACCCATGCAGCTCTATTGCATGACTGGTATACTCCACTGCAGTGTAGTGGAGCTGGGCCACACCATCAGGAAAGCAGATGTCTGCAAACTCCAGAGTGAAAGAAGAAATCAAACATGTTCTGTGACCCTGAAGCTTGTAAAACGGTCTCTGAAGCTGAGAAGTCCCTGAATTAGGTACCTTCTCTCCATAGGCCTAAGGGAACAAAAGTAAAACTTGACAACTCATATTTGGTCATATTAACTGTCCCTCCCCACCCCCCCTGGGCTTCCCTCACATCTACACTGCAGAGAAAAAGCAGAATGCAGCATTTCCGTTATGAAACATAAGCCTCCGGAGCATCTAGTCGGCAACTGCAATTCACAAACCCCAGCCTGTGACACAGAAAGTAATTCCAACACACAGGACTGTGTGTTCTTTTCAATGCAAAAATGGGACTGACCTTTGGAGTAGTCACCAGAACTTTCAAACTAAGCCCTGATGGTGTTCCTCTGTGAAGGGGTAGGTGGGCTGAAGTGGGGTGGTAGGGGGTGGCAGGGAGAATGCACCTGCCAGGTGTGTTTGCATTTAGTTAGGGAGTTAGGATGGTGTTGATATGATGGATTGTGTGTGGACTATGAGGTGGCCGCATTGTGCCAATCTGACAGGCTGGCTCCATAGGTGACTCCCATCTTTAGAAACCTGTAAGTCAGTGATGAAGATTTCTTGAAAGCCATGATAAATATTCTGTGTTCTAAATCAAAAATCAAAAGGTCAAAAGTCACTTGCACAACTATTGCTTTCCATGCAGAACCAGATGCACACTTTAGAACACTGACTACAATGCAGGCTATTATGCAACATCTGCATTAGTCCTGTTGAGCTGTGAGTACATTACTAGGTTTCATCAGACATCAGTTAACATTTTGGTAATATTCACATAGTTTGTGTTAGCCAGTGTACAGTTGGCTGTTTTTAAGTTCTCCTCTCTAAAGTCCTCATTACTGTTGTTCACTCCCTCCTGTATCTCCATGTAATCAGACTTACTTATGGTAGAGGCACTTCTACTTTTCTTTAGGTCAGGGGAGGACGGGATCTTTGGACAGCTTGTCACTTGCAAGTACTGGGCCTGTTCCTCTCCCTCTGTCTCCCGATGGTAGAAGTAGTTGAAATTAGACACTATGACAGGGACTGGTAAGGCAATGGTTAATACACCTGCAATTGCACACAGGGAACCCACTATCTTTCCCCCAATGGTAGTTGGAACCATGTCTCCATAGCCTACAGTTGTCATGGAGACAACTGCCCACCAGAAAGCATCCGGGATGCTGGGGAATTGGGAATCTCGCTCATCAGCTTCTGCAAAATAGACAGCACTAGAGAAGAGGATGACCCCAATGAAGAGGAAGAATATCAAGAGGCCCAATTCCCTCATGCTGGCTTTGAGGGTCTGACCTAGAATCTGCAGACCTTTGGAGTGTCTGGACAACTTGAAAATCCGAAAGACTCTTACCAACCGGATGACACGGAGAATGGCCAATGACATGGCCTGCTGGCCTTGCTGGGCGTCCTCTGGCTTCTCAGCTAACTCTGTCCCCAGGGTTATAAAGTAAGGGATGATAGCCACAATGTCAATGATGTTCATAATGTTGGTGAAGAAGCCAGCTTTGCTGGGACAGGCAAAGAATCTCACCAGAAACTCAAAGGAGAACCAGATGATGCAGAGAGTCTCTACAATGAAGAAAGGGTCGGTGAAGGAGGTGGATTGCTGGTACCCGATGGTGCTGTTGGAGTAGGTATGGAAGGTCACCCCACCACCATGCATGTCCTCATTCTCATCCCGGAAGATGGGCAAGGTTTCCAGACAGAAGCTGACGATTGAGATCAGAATGACCATGACGGATACAATGGCTATAATCCTGGCGGGCCCTGAGCTCTCAGGGTATTCAAAGAGAAGCCACACCTGTCTCTGAAACTCATTTTCGGGCAGAGGGCGCTCTTCTTCCTTGATGTAGCCTTCATCCTCCCGAAACATCTCCATTGCTTCTTCTCCTAGCTCATAAAACCGGATTTCTTCCGAGAATATATCTAAGGGCACGTTCACGGGCCGCCTCAACCTGCCTCCAGACTGGTAGTAGTACAAAATGGCATCAAAGCTAGGCTGGTTGCGGTCAAAGAAGTACTCATTTCGCAGGGGATCGAAGTACCTCATCCGCTTCTTGGGGTCCCCTAAAAGGGTCTCTGGAAACTGGGCTAGGGTCTTTAGCTGAGTCTCAAACCGCAGGCCTGAGATGTTGATCACCACCCTCTCACAGCACTCGTGGTCTGCCTCTGGGTCATAGGTGTCCTGTGGGTGCCCAGGGAGGGCAGCAGCCTCGTCCACTGGGTCTCCGGTAGCCACTGTCATAATTGGGCTGAGGAGAGTACTTTACTCTATGCCTTCCAGCTGCTTGCGGCAGGGGGCTCAGGGTGCTGGTAACTGGGCCCCAAGAAACTCAGAAGCATTAGGCTGTGCTCCTGCAGGAGAGCCCCAGAGCCCTCTGAGAGCTGGAGACACAGCCTCGCTTGGCTGAAAGACAGAGGCAGGTAAAGACATGAGACCACCAGTCATTGGCAACCTGATATGAGCTGTCCTTGATGTGCCCCATCTCTCAGCCAAGAGTTCCGAAACACAACCATACCATTACCCCTGCCACTGAAGCTACTTTCACCTTGGAACTTGTCTAGGGATCCGTAGGGTTCAGGGGACAATCTTTCAGTTATAGAGTGGCCTGCACTGGAGGCAGGTGCCCGAGGTACCACACGGCATCCTGGGACACAGCTCCATAGGAGGGAGCCCTCTGCCAGGCACTGCGCTAAAATGTTTCGCCAACACCTGCATCACAAGAGGTACTCATGGTAGGGTGTTTGGGGCCTGGGTCTTCGTCCCTGATACCACCCCCAATGACTCTAGTTGGCTGTTATTGATTGATTGATTTACCTGGCCAGGCAGGATCCTGAGGTTCTTTTCCGTGAAAAGCAGATCAGATGCCACAGGAATCCTAGCTACACAAATAGGCAGCTCAACTCCCCATCACATCTTCTCACTTGAGCTGGAAATAATGGTGAGTCATTCTGAGCAGGAGGGCAGGCTCCAGGTCCTGGAGGTGTGCTCTAGGACTGGATAGGGCTGGAGGAACAGTTTGATGCTTGGCCAGGGGCATTCAGGACTTGAGAAGAGTGAAGCCTGGGTCTGAAGCTTTTGGAAGGAAGGAGGTAAGACGCACAGCTCAGCAAAAACCAGAGTCCTCCTGGCTGTCCTCAGGAGGTGTGACGTTCCCTGGAAAACACAGCAGCAAGGTGGAACCCAGGGCTTTCAGGCAGCGGGAACCAAGACTTAGAAGGACTCTGGCAGATTCCCTCTCTGCAAGTGGCAATCCCCCATGCCTACTTTTCATGGTGGTAGTGGCCGCCGAGAACTCCCATGGACCCTCCTAGCCTCTCCTGGGTAAGCCTTTCTTCCTATTAGCTTGAAGCCCTTTCTCCTCCTAGACCTCTGCTGCCACCAGGAGCGACCCAGCTTTCTCTATTCCAGTGTCAGAACACCTCTCACCCAAAGGGAGGGTTTTCCCCTCTGACCTTAGCCGTGTCCCGGTAAAGAAGCAATCCTTCCTCCTCCAACACACATGCCTACCCAGCTAGAGAGACCCCTGCACACAGCCAGATCGCCTCCGTAGAATGCTGGATAGCCGGGGTCGCTGAACTTACTCTCCCTCCGGGATCCCTGGGCCTCAGGCCTTGCTCTGGGTTGGGTGGCATTTGTTTGAGCTGGGCAGGCACTCGACCACTGATTTCTTCCCAAGAGAAAATCCCTCACATCTCGGCAGGGAAGCACAGAACAAACGCTCAAGCTGTTTGGCTGTGAGGAGGATTGGCTTCACGGAGAGGGGGAGCCGAGAGGAAGCTGGCTTCCGGGCTGGCCCCCCGCCGACCCAATCCCGCCGGCCCCAGGGCCGGGAGGGGTCTGGGCCCTCTCCCATCGCCCCGGGCTCCGGTCCGGGATTCCGCCAGGCGCGCTCCCGCTGGAATCCGCGCGGCTGACCAGAGGCTGCAGCCGTCGGCCGGCTTGAGCGTGCCACCTTAACCCCTTCCTGCGCAGTGCGGTGGGCTCCTGCTGTGGGCCCGAGGAGGACAGCCTAGCTGGTGCCTGCGAGGTCCAGCTGAGGGACCACCGAGGCTCGTCTCCACCTGAAAACACAGGGAGGGGCCTCAACTCTGAGGGTGCAGAAGAGGCTTCGCCAGGCAGCTGCCCCAGATCTAGCTTCCTCTTAGGCAAAGGGGCTCTGCGGCAACCCACCACCCCGGCCAAGTGGAAAAGCAGCGACTGCAGAGAAGCTTATTTTACTCTATTGCCGAGAGGCAAATGCAACCAGGAGGACCCAAGTGACTCGAGTCCTACCCACCCACTATTTACCAGACATGGCTATGCAGTCAGCTGCACTTCCCATCACCCGCCACCTCCAATCTGCGCCCTCCGCCCTATGTCACGCACAGACCATAGGGTCCCCGAGCCCATTCCATGCACTCTTCTGAAGGGGCAAATTCCCCCTCCGCACCCCCTCCCCTCCCCACCTCGCCGCGGCGGGCGCGGGTCCATAACCCTCCAGGTCGACAGCAGGGGTCGGCACCAGCTCGCCCGCCCAGACTACCGGTGTGCCCTGCAGCCCCTCTGGGCGCTGCAGCCGGGCAGGGATGGCAGCACGCGCAGCGGAATGCCGGACACTGATTTACCCTTGCGGATGGGTACCCGAGCCTCCATGTTCCTGGGTGACATCCAGGGCCGGCAGAACCCGGGCAGCGGGCGGTGGCGGTGGCGGCGGCGGGGTGCGGGCGGCCAGCCGGGAGCAGACTCTGCAGTCCCGCGGGCGGCGCGTACGGAGCGCCCGGCCGCCGCCCGCAGCCGCACCGCGCCGCACCGCGCCACGCAGCGCCGCACCTGGCCCCGCAGCGAACTCGAATTAAAGGGGCCGGCGGGGGCCAGAGCCCGCGAGGTGTGCCGCTCGCCGCCGCCACCGAGCTGGCCACCGGGTTAGATAGACTCCCGTGTCCCCGACCCTCACCACAAAGAAAACACCCCATTCTTTGGCAGAACAGTAGGTTACCCACCAGAACTCGGTGCAGAGCTCAGCTGGGTGCTGCCTGGGCCGGGAGAAGTGGAGAGGGCAGAGAAGTTGAGGAGCTCCTGAGAGGTTCTTGCCAACATAATGAAGTAGGCAAGATGAACCGATCAATACCAACTATCCCAGGCCCGAGGCGGGATCCAGCCCCACGGGAGATGTGTTGCTATTATTAAGATGCTGCCAGACAGGATCTGCAGACCCCAGGCCCCTCTCTGGCCTTCCCCTGCGTCCTCTCTTGCATCCCTGAGCCCCACCTTGATCTTACCCAGCACAGCGTTGGCTTCTCGGGGCAATGCAGCAGGTGCGGGCCTGGCTGCAGCGTGGCAGAAACTCGGCGCTGTCTTTGCCCCCCACCGGGTGGGGGTTGGGAGAACCGCAGGAACAACTGAACTGAGGGCCTGCCACTTGCCTTTCTGACTTCCTTTCCCTAGGGCTCTGGACAGAGAAGGCTAGGGGACACACAGCTGCCCTTGGGAACAGCCGGCTCCTCACAGATGCCCTCTCATAGATCTGACAACACTAGCTGGTCCACGTTGTGATCTGAATTTGGGGGTGTAGCTCATCGTACCCTGGGATGGATAGAATAGGATACCCTCTGTCTCCAAAGAATTTGTGTAGGAAGTCCTTGGTTTAGTTGGGGATGGGAGTGCTTTAGGGGTCCAGGTTGGCTTGAAAGCCATGCAAAAGCTCCAAGCCTTTCACTAGTTCAGTTCTGCAGACCCCTGTCGGAACTACCTGCATAGACGACCCACAGAGGGACACACTGAGATGGATCACAGAGCTCTGGTGTTCAGAGGGCTCTAGTGTGGGAAAGACTCTTCCTGGGCTCTCTCTGCTAAGACAACCCTCTCTAGGAGAGTGTCTGAAGCCCCCGAGAGTCTGCTTCCCTGCAAGGGAAGGTTCCGAAGGATGCAGCCATTCTCCAATGGGTAGTCTGTAGAGTGGGGTTTAAGATTGCAACCCTACCTAGAGCTGCAGGAGGTACCCTGAGAAGGCTTAGAGGGAAACTGATGACTATTAGACTGTACCAGTTTGACTTCTGATTCCTGGAAGGTGGGCCGTGAAGATGGACTGTCAATGAAGGACCCAAAGTCTGGCCTGGGTGTTTTGCCTGCCAAACTCAAACTGTAATCTCGGCCAGTTATTGGATAAGTAAATTTACTACAGAAGTGGCAGCCTGTTAGTGTTAAATTGCATACGAAGAGTTTAGCATCCAACAATCACTTAATAAACAATGATTTGTAACGTTCTGCCCACTCTTCTCCTAGCTTTGTGTTTCTCCTTGTACAAACCACTGGTCTGTGTTTTCTGTTCTTCCTGCTTCCCACGGTCTTGGCTATTCAGCAACAACATCCTCCAATGTCCTGCTATGCACTCCTTCTGGATGATTCCCCAAGGGTCTCTGTTCTCCTATTTGTCATGCTTATGTCCACTGGAGAGTGTGCATACATCTTCATTGCCTTACTTGTAGAACAAAAGGTGTGGATAGCAAAACACCCTTGTGGGAGAATTAATGATAATCTTAACTGGTGGCTTGTGCTCACCGTGTTCAGGGGCTATGCTAAGCACTGTGACCCAGCACTCCACTCAGTCCTCATAGTCTTCTGACTTGTCTGTCTGTCAGCACCATTCACTGGAAAGGCAATAGAGGCTGAGAGAAGGGGAAGTGACCTGCATGATGTCAAGAAGTGGTGGCTCTAGGTCTTGAATCAGATCTTTGTGACTCCAGGGGTCTTGGGATCTTGATTGCCCAGTGTGTGTGTGTGTGTGTGTGTGTGTGTGTGTGTGTGTGTGTGTGTGAGACAAGGATGTCTGAATTTCATTTCCCTTTGGGAATTTCGTCTGGCCCCTGCTGTTGTCTCTTCACATGGCATGTCACTTTCTCCCTTCTCTTTAAAGGACACTGACCTAAGTGTGAATGGCAATGGAAAAAAACAACTAATGAAGGAAAAGCCAAGACAAGGCTACACCAAGAGCCCTCGCCCTGAAAGGTATTTCTCTGGGTACATTGGACAGTATCAGGGCTGGGGATGAAATAGTAGGAAAGAGCATGGGTCTGCTTTCCCATGTAGGCACTTGTTAGCCGTGAGAACCTGAGCAATTATCAAAAATCTTTGCGCTTTGGACTCCTAATCTGTCCAACAGGAGCAAAGCCCCTTTGCAGTGTGGTCAGGACTAAACTGGATGGGAGGAGGGGACAGCTAACCAGTTTCACTGGTAAATTAAGGCCAGGTCTCCAGTTCTTAGTTCTGGTTCCAAAGGAACAACCAGTGAGTCCCTTGTTCCTTTTCCTTGGTGAGACACTGACATTCCCCTCCCCTACTTGTCCCCAGTGACTTCTTTCTCTTTAGTTTCCTGCTTGGGAGCCAGGCCCTGCCTTTAGGAAAGGCTGTGGTGACCACTGCAGGGAGAGGCAAGTACCTATAGTCATTAAAAGAAGGGGTTGTTCTGGGAGGAGGGGACTGGACCTGCCTGGACTGAGTCTACCAGGTTGATCTCAATCCTCGGGGGAGTCTTTGCCCTGGAGGAGATGGGAATGGGGGGTGGGCTTGGGGGAAGGGGAGGGGGGCGGGAGGGGGGAGAACAAGGGAATCCGTGGTTGATATGAAGAATTAAATTATATTGTAAAATAAAATAAAATAAAAAAGAAGGGGTTGTGTAGATAAATATTGAATAATCACACTAAGTATCAGAATCATTGTGCAGCTCCTCCATTTATATAGCATTCTAGAAGATACAAACACTGTGGTCTACAAAGACAGGAAGCAGGTCAGCAGCTGCATGGACAGAAGTACGGGGACGGGAGTGGGAGATGGATTGCCAAGGGATTTCTTTGGGGGGGGGTGATGGTTATGCTTATTATCTTGAGTATGTTGACAGTTTTGCAGGTATATGCCTAGATCAAAACATCTCAAATTTGACATTTTAAGCAATGCAATTTATTGTACATGAAGCATACAACAATTAAGTACTAAAACTCAAAAACAGAAAAGAAGGGCTTCTAATAGGTACACTCTGTGTACCTATTCTCAGTCCCTCCCATCACCATTTAGGGGCCCAGAAAGACTCCATGATTCTTTCTCTTGGTGTCACCTTCCTGGTATGGCCAGCACCTCTTCTTGGTGCTTCCGTACTGACTGTGTGCTGGCACAGCCCTTCCAGCCCATGGGCAGGCAGGACAGGGGTGCATTGTGGGTATTTGATTTAATGCCTATAACCAGGCCTAGGGAAAGATGTGATTGACTATTTTACAGAGCAAGACACTGGAGCTCAGAGAGGACCAGACACTGGTCAGCGTAAGTTAGCTGGTAAGTGGTATGGTTAGGACCAAACTCAAGATGGTGTGAGTCCACAGGTTGCCATGTCATCCTGCCAACTGGATATCCGGTTTCTCCATTTAGGATGTGGATTCAGACCATCAGAACTCAAAAACCCTGAAGGCACATCCTCTTATCCCGAGGACAGGAAGACTGCTTTAGAAAGGGATTGATGTCAGTGGTTAACTGGCCACATGTAAACTCGGGAACTGGAAATGGTGGTACGGGCTTCCAGACTCCAATCCTCTTTTGTCTGTTCCAGTGAACGCTCGGTGAATGCTTCTCATATTTGCACAGCCTTGGAGCACTGCTCACCCTGGTGAAAGGAGTGGACCAGGCAACATCTGGTTTTGGTCTTGGTGCGCAGAGCCTTGTGGCTCATGGGATATTCACTTGACCTTTCTTTTCAGGAGTTCATTTGTGAAATACGTACCACATTCTCTCAAGCCCCACCTCCTTGTTCACGGGAGTGGAGCGGGGGGAGGGAAGGGAAGAGGAGAGGGCAGAAAGATTGAAACTAACATTCACAGTCAGTGCATATTAAAATCTCAAATGATCAAGGAGCTTAAGGAGCTTATGAATGGACTTGGTGAAGTCCATTGGTGAATGGACTCACCAGTGGGATGAGGCTACTGTGAACATCACTGCTGTTGAGCTGCTGTGGTGGGGCCCTGCAGGTGGGTATCAATGGACATTGGAGAACATCCTTGAAAGCAGAGTCTGGCCCCTACGGGCTTCAGAAGTCTGCTACTTAACTCAGAAAAGTTCTGTAGGAAGTAGGAAGCATCTAGATTAACTCCAGCTGCTTCCAAAAGGCTCTGGGGTGGAGCCTGAGACTTGGCTCCTGGCCTGAATTGTCTGCTGCGTCTCATATTCCTCACCCAAGACTGGCCGCAGAGGGTGTACTCTGCCTAAGGCTGGGCTGCTCTGTGCAGGGCTCCTGCATGTACCTGTGAATGAAACAGCACAGTGCTCAGAGCACAGAACAAGTGCCAGCAGGTCTAGGGACTGCTTCCAGCCTGCTGTGCTTTAGCTGTGACTCAGTTTCCTTCATCATGCACTGTCAGGGTGAGGCTGGAGGATAAACCACTTGGAATGGAGCCTGTCCCATGCAGACACAAGTGTAACACAGACACCGACAGTATTACCTTCCTCTATGGGAAGTGGGAGTTGAGCGGTCTACACCAAGCAGTTATGGCAGATACGCCGTGGGTTCTCAGACCACCTATGATGTAAGCTGCCTGTGAGCACCATGCCCAGGTAAACTCACTCACTGTCCCTTGGTTTTTCTGTCACAAGTCTCTTTTTGAGGTTGGCACCATGTGTGTCCCTTAGCCAGTTCATGTCACCCAGTGGCTCCTTGATAGGTCTCAGTGTGGCCAGGACGGTGTTCCAGCTGCTCATACCTGTAAGGGCTCCATCTGCAGGCCAGTTGGAGCAGGATAAAGTGTGGAAGACAGGCCACTTGACTGCTCTGTGGGCCTGGGCTTTAAGCAGCCAAGTTACCTTGTAGCTGCACTCATGACAAGTTCCCTGGGTTCTCTGCGTTCTGCCTAGGACTTGTGTGAGCCTCACTTCCCAGGCCTCCTTCTCTGCCATGCTCCTTGTCCCAGGAGATACTGCCATTTCCCCAGCTGTCTAATCCAGACACCTGGGAGTCATTATAAGACCCATGCTTCCTCTTCTATGTGGACAGCCTCCACATCCAGCCAGACACATGGCCTGGACACTCCTTCATGCTTTCTCTCACTTATCCTTCCTGTCTGGCCTGGTCTAGCCACCAGCAGGCCTGGTCACATCTCACCAAACCCATTTTGGTCCTCTACCTTCATACTAGGGCCCCTCTGCCCTCCTCTCCTTGAAGTGGCTGCAGTTACCTTTCTACTGCGCACATCAGATCATGTCACCTCTTTAACGTCTCTTTGACTCTGTATTGCTGTGGTCAACCAACATTTCCTAAAAGGCAAACAAAGCTTTCTATGACGGTCCTCTGTCCGCCATGACCCCCACCTTAGAAGTCCATACAGGCATCACTCTAAACTGACTTGAAGGTCCAAGTGGCTTCATCTAGATGTATAAGGCTAAGATCCGAAATGAGACAGGCTTGGAGTCCATCCCTTCCTACCTCCGCTGCTTGCCACACATATGAAGGTCCATCTCAGTGATGGACAATGGTAGCTTCTGGAATCTGCAAGTCTTCCTGCTTTGGATTTAGCAGTGCCTCAGCCAGATCCTAACACCTTCTCTGCCACCCAGTGACTTCTAATACTCACTTCATGCCATGTCTATCTAGGAGGCCTTCCTGGCCCTCTCTCTGGTTTCCATCCACTGACTCTATGCCCGGGATATGAACCTATTAGATCAGATTTTGAGATGCCCCATTGACATCCCATGTTATCTTCTACTAGGTGGGCAAGACTATATCTCTTCTTTATATCTTGGTGTCTGGTCTCGCCCAACTAAGAGTGGCTTTCCTGGCATCCACTGTGGCCTGGTGCACTCCAGCTGATGATAGGACTCAGTGACACATCCTGGCTTCATCGTCTTCTCTTGTCCTGCACCAACGTGGCCATTCTCCGAGATCACTCTAGTTTCCAAGTGTCTGTGCCCACACCAACACCTTGGTCAAAACACCTTGACTCAGATGTGGCCTAATTGGCTGAAGGGCAGGCACACCTCTGTGAGTGCAGCCTGGCGCACACTGGCCCTTAGCACCCGGGTTCCACCCAGGTCCCTGTGCCTGCTTGCTACTCTGACCCCCCAGTCTTTCTCTTTTCCTCTCTGATAATAGAGAAGGAGAATAGAGCGGGTACAAGAGAAGCCTCTTAAAATCATGCGATGACCTTGACCTGTACTAGATCTGCCCATACTAGATCAAATTCTGCTACTCCCGAGGTAACCATGTGGTATGTGACATGGATAAAGTTACTCTTTCCTCTTTAGACCCCACTTTACTCAAACTGTTAAAGCTGAATGAATATATGATCTCTTTGTTCTAAGACAATCGCATTGGCATTATTTAGTTAAGGGCTGGGAGCCTCAAGTAAGCAATGGACATACTCACTCCTAGCATCCTTACTTCTACTGTGCCACATACTGAGAGACATTGATGCCCAGAGAGGTCAAGGTCACTTGGTCCTAGTGACAGAGTGGGACTTGAGCTCAGGCTTCTCTGAGCTCCAGGACAATAGTTCCCACTGAGACTCTCTCATTGCCTATTTAGAAGGGAAGGAATGATCTGGAGACTTCAGAAAACAAGATCACTTCGAAAACAAGTACTGCAAGAATTCAAAACAGTGCCAATCTGATGCTCGGTGCATCATAATGATGTACTCTGAGTCCAAGCAGGGCCATCAACAGCGGAACACAGAGAGTCTGCAGTGCTGAGGCCTCATGGGAGACAATAGGCTCCTACTTCTCAGTGGGTAGATGGAGACACCCAAAAGACTCTCAGGTCAGAGCAGGAGCCTGGCTGCTACTTTGTACCTGATGCTTGCTGGGTGAAGACTGAGTACAGAGTGTCAGATAGTGGGAGGAAACCTTGTATGGAGTGGACAGAGAGCAGATCTTGTTCAAGAAGCTTAGATAAAAGGCTTGGAGGGATTCAGTCTCTCTGACCCAGTCTTTGAAGCAGGGAGTGGGAAAATTAGAGGATCAAGGAGGCAATTGAGCCA